ATCTTTACCTGCATGAGACGTTTTATTTCTAAATCAATCATTTCTTGCATTGATGGACTTATATCATTAACACGAACAAAACCTAGACCAGCATCTTGTTCTTCTTCTCGAAATGATCTTGTACCAACTTTCTCTGACATACCAAATTGTTTAACCTATTTTAATAAGACAAAAAAAGGAAGCATATCTTAAACGTTTGTCAGCGCAGCCCTTTCAGGGCTGAAATATGAAACTCACATGTGTTTTTTAGCTTCGTTATACTAATACAAAATAGGTTAAGTGAAAAATTTCTAATAGACTATTGTTGTTCTTCAAGGATTATCGATTGTCAAAGAAACAATCTGTCTTATTTATTTCTGCACGTCGAACAATATTTTTTCTTTCATTTTTACTGACGTTCTATTTATTGATGACCTTGTTGTTTTTTTCGCGTTCGTATTCCGTTTTTCTTAAATTAACAATATTATTATTCTAATCATTGATGTGACTGGAAAATAAGTCTATTGTGCATATCCATTACATCTACAACATGCCTCAACGTACTATGATATCTCGATAAGATCAGAAAACACTGATATTAACTATTTCCCAGAGTTGTAACTTGATGAATTCACGCTTTTTATGTTGATCATATGACGACTGTGATAAATCAATACATCATTACCAATCATCCTTGGCATTTTGAATATACTTGTTTATCTGCGTAAAAATCAGAAACTATGCTATTGAGAATATTCACAAACGTATTCTAGTTATTTAAATTTCAAGGAAGGCTGCGAAATCGTCTAGAACTGTGAAAGGTGTGTTGCTAATGCCATTCAACGTCTTGTCTGTTGATAAAGATCTATAGGAAAAAATTCTGGTATTCGTTGTCCACGATAGCTATAGAAACTGATCGAATGACTAGGGGATTTTCTTTCTCCCCCCTCAACTGTTAGAAATAAAACTTCATTGGTCAGTAACCTTCGACCTTGGTTATTATGAAATGTAAATCTTCAAACCCTCGACTTAAATCTTACACTCTCAATATTTTTCTTCGAAAAACATAGTGTGAGTTTCACAAAATAAATACAAAAACAGAAGAAGCATTGAATTACCATATTTGTTGCAAGTTTTGTTGCTTGATTAAAATCACTTGCTGCACCAGTTGTTATTTTATCCGTACCAAATATTTGTTCTTCAGCAGCACGTCCACCCATCATAACATCCATTTCAGCTAATAATTGTGCTCTTGTTCGATTGTATGTTTCTTTCAATGGAATATGTGCTGTAAAACCAAGTGCTTGTCCACGTGGAACTATTGTTACTTTATGTAATGGATCAGCATCACTAGTAAAATATCGAACTATAGTATGACCGGCTTCATGATAAGCTGTTATATTATTTGTTTCATGATCAGGTATTTTAGATTTTTTTGCTGGACCCATTAGAACTTTATCACGAGCATGTTCAAGATGTTTCATACTAACTGCTGGTGCATCAATTTGTGCAGCATAAAGTGCAGCCTATACCAAAACAAAAAAGTATAATATTGTTTAATTTTTTTATTGTAGAAACATACTTGATTAACCATATTTTCAATATCAGCTCCAGTAAATCCCGTTGTACCTTTTGCTAAATATTCTACATCAATATTTCGATCATATGTAACTTTGGAAAGATATAGTTCAAATATTTCTTTTCGACCACGAAGATCAGGTGGTAATATATGTATTTCCGAATCAAAACGACCTGGTCGTAAAAGTGCTGAATCAAGATAATCACGACGATTTGTTGCAGCTAATATGATAATTCCTTCATTTTTTTCAAATCTAAATATGATATTTAATAAAGATAATGATTATTGTCTTTTTTATGTTTTAAATAAATTTATTTTACCCATCCATTTCTGCAAGAAGTTGATTTATTGTTTGATTAGCATATGGATGTAATTGTGAACTTGATCGTTTAGCACCAACAGAATCAATTTCATCAATAAATATAACACATGGTGCACGAGCTTTAGCAGCAGCTATAATTAATTATTAGGATTATTATTCATTTTCAATTAAAATTTTTTGATATAAAATTTTTCGAATTAACTTACTGAATAATTGACGTACACGACGAGCACCTGTACCAACAAACATTTCATCAAATTCTGAACCAGATGTATGGAAAAATGGAACACCAGCTTCACCAGCGACAGCTCGAGCTAAGAGTGTTTTACCTAAAGATAATTTCTATGTTTATTTCTTTTGCAAACAAAATAAACACGAAAAAAACAACGACACTTACCAATACCAGGTGAACCAACAAGCAATACACCTTTAGGAAGTCGAGCACCTAATTTTGTATACCTCTCTGGTTCTTTAAGATATGCTACTATATCAATTAATTCATCTTTTGCTTCATCAGCCTAATCAATAAATCGAAAAATATTTTTATTGCAAAAAAAAAAGAACTATATTAAATTTTTTTACCCCTCGAACATCAGAAAAATTAACTTTAATTTCTTCTGGATTAATTTCATATTTACTAACAGTTGAAAATGCATTTGCAAATCCACCACGAACATTATCTTAAAATAAAGCCAAAATTTAAAATTTATTAAAATAAAAAAAACAAATATATATGTATACATACCACCACCAATGGCAGAAATAATATTTAAAAGAAGCATGATTAAAATACCATAAAATAATATAACACGTACGGCTTTAAATAATGATGGACGATCTTTTGGTTTTGATTCACCACCAGCAGCAGTTGCTGCAACATAACCTATAGAATATTTTGAAATTAGAAATTAATAGACAAAAAAAAGGTTTTTTCTTTAATAAATAAATAAATAAATTCTAACCTTCAGCAAATGCAATTTTTACTTTTTGTTGTTCATCAATATTCGATGTTGTTTGTAACATATCCTGAAGACGTTTTCCATCAGTATTTTGAGATGGAGCATTTCCACGACCATAATAGTGCATAAACTTAAGAAAATAATTAAATTAAAAAAGAACAAAAACAATGTAATCAAATAATAAAATTTACTCGATTGACAAAAGCTGTTAATGGTGGTTGATTTGTATCAGTTGCATGTTGTGAGTGTCTTCCACTACTACCTACTGATAATCGATATCCATCAAAATCATTTGAGACTCGAGATGAGCCTGACATTGTACCACTACTGCTACTTTCACCAATACCGGTTGCCTGTGCATGTCGTGTTTTAAATCCACGAACTTGATTATAAACTAAACATAAATAAAAACGCAAAATTTGATTATTGCATAATAAATGAAAATACTGACTTAAACTTTCGACTTTTAATAAATCTTTATGATTAACATGTTGAGTAATACCAACTTGACATGAAAGACAAGATGTTGATGATAATGATGCGACAGATAACTTTTGAAGTTCTTTAATAAAGAAAACAAAAACAGTGATTTGACTCAAAATAAATATAGAATTTTCCATAAATAACTAGACGATAAAAACATTCATTATTTCTAGGCTGATTTTTTTTCTTCTTGGTGATAGGAGAACTCTTGAAAGCTTTTCTTCACAAGAAAATCATCAATAGATTTTGTATTGAACTACCACTATTTACCTCAATAAAGAAATATACTACTGTTAGAAAATATTCTCCTACAATTTCAGCTATTCTTAGGGTTTTCTTTCTTTTTAGACTGTTTACGGTTCTCAAAGACGGATAGACTCCATTTAACTTTGCTCAATCAAGTTGAAATTTTTACCATTGATACTTAGATGTATTTTTCAAAGGTAAAACTGGTCATATTCGTTTTTGACTTTTCTACTCTGATTTACAAGACCTTGAAAGCCTAGTTCCTGATTTTGTCTCCAGATCTTAATCTATTTCTCTCATAAGATTTTTGTGAAAACTTTAAATTATCTCTGAGTAGATTTGCTGTATTGTCTTCGAAGATCAGACACGGTTAAGAAAGCGAGATATCCTTCAAGGCATCACAACTGTAACTTTTAGCGCATGCACTATCTTAGAAGTATAGAACAATGAGATCAATGCGATCTTGATCATCTGAATTAAATAGAAATCATGATGTATGATAGCTCTTCTCACTAAGAATTTTATAATTCAAGAAAGACACTAGCTTACGAAATCGTCAATTTATCATTATGTAAAGTATTTGCAGGTTTTGAACCCTTAGATGGCGCTCATAGAAATTTATAGCGTCAACTGCTGCATTAAAGTGCTAATTAATGACAGATTCGCTGGAATAATGCGCTTCTGTCCTTCTTAAATTATAAGCCTCGAAATGGTAATCGTTGTCATAGATCATAACTTCTCTTCAACACAAACAAGAATCACTGAGATACTTGAAACGAATAGTACTAATTCTATACAGTATTTCTTTTTCAATTTCCTTATGACTCTTTTTTATGGTCTAGTTATTAATATATTATCCCATAGTTTGTACCTTCTTTTGATATTCCATTTAATAATGATTCAATATTAATATCAAAAGCTTGTTGTGTTGCTGCAATGACTTGTCGATCAATTTTATGCTAATAAAAAGAAAAAGAAAAAGAAAAATTCAAAATTAATATTCAATAAATCATTCATATCTAACTCTTGAATATTGTATTTGTTTTGTTTTTGTTTTTGTTTTTCTTGAAAATTGTTTTAATGCTTCATTCGTTATTGATTGTAAACTCTGTGGTAAATAACGTATTGATTGTACAAAAAATGAAGCACATTGAGAACACAGCTGTAAAAAAATATCAATAACTATTAAAATAAATATTCAATTCAATGTTTGACTTCTCACATTTGTTGGTGTCAAAAATGAATTCATCTACAATACATAGATGTATATATTATAAAACATATTGAATTCGTTTATATTTATTGGTTGTTTTTTTTCTCTTTTCTGTTGAACACATAAACACCATAGGAAAAAATACATATAAATAAAGAAGACACACGCATTCATAGAAATTAGAAGAGTTTATTGTTTTTTTTTTATACACAGACTAGTTCACATAAGTTCAAGGAGATGATCAGCTTCGAATAATGCTTCATCGATGAAAGCAAATGTATCAACAACATCGGTAGGTTCATCAAGTTCAAGTAATCGATTTTCATCTTCTTCTTTTAGAATTGTTGAAGCTTGAACAGGAGGATTATTATTATTATTATTATTATTATTATTTGATGGAGTTTGTTCAGTAGGTTTTGATGGAATTGGAGAAGAATTAGTAATTACTGGCGGTACAGACTGTTTAGTAGGTACTGATGATGGTTGTCGAGGTCGTTGAGAAGGTGGTGGGTGACGTGAAATCGTTGGTTTTTGTTGTTGTTGTTTTAGTAGTGGTGGTGGTATATAACGTGGACGTAAAGAAAGAAGAGGCACCGGTTGACATGGCATTGTATTTGATGGTATGAAAGTTTTTGGTTGTGTTGTTTTAGCAAGAAATTCATCGACTTCTTTTTTCCAAGTTGAATCATCCATTGATGATGTTAATGAATATGTTTGACGAGGAGATGATTTTCTTTGTGATGATGACGATGATGATGATGATGAGCGATGTCGATGATGATAACGATCATGTGTTCGACGAGAATTCAATGGTGGCGAACATAAATCACCAATAGTTGTTGTTGTTGTTGTTGTTGTATTATGATAATGATTATTTTCTTGTTGAGAAGAAAGACGTTTTGATGGTGGTGAATCATTTACTGATAATTCCGGTCCTGGGCGTTTACGTTCATTAGTGGTAGATGAGGTAACAATATTACGAGTTGTTATTGTTGATGATGATGATGTATTAACCATAGATCGAGGCGATGAAGTTGATTTCTTCTTGAAACGTCTAAAATTGAATACAAAATTTGATTAATCATTTGATTTCTTTTTTCTTCTTCTTCTTCTAATTATTATTTACTCAATACGACTTGTTCGACGTTCATCATCTTGTGATAATTCTGTTCCTAGAATGATTCGAATGTACGATTACATCAAACGTCTCGCAAAAGAAAAAAAAGACCATAACTATGGTACTATGACGATATACAATAACAAATGATTGTTATTAACCTATTCCATCTCATGTCAAAAAATAAACATTAACAAAAATATAACATTGTGTGTGTGTGTATGTTATTTTTTTTTCTTTGTTAGTCTCTATCTATGCTCACTTAACTCATCGAAAAAAAACAAAGAGACAAAAAGAAATATAATGAGGGAAGACGAATAGAGTTTGTATAGATGTTGTTGTAAATAATTGATTGTTAAGAAATGGAAAGCAAGATGAATAAATGTTATGCCAATCAACGTACCCGCAGATGTCTAAAATAAAAATAAAAAACTGTTAGTACAATTGCAGCAAGATTAAACTTTGAAACACGATATAGCTGCTCTAATTCATTGCAAGGAGCTTGTTCTAACGTATTCTTCCTTTAAGAATGCAATAGAGAATTAAATTATTTTTTAGTAACAAAAAAGGATGGACATTCCTTTTAGATCGTGCTTTACGAAAATGAAAATTATTATTATTTTTTTTATTGTTTATTTACCTTTTCTCCATTTGATGATGTAGACATAAAATTTGATGAGTTTGTTATTGTTATTTTTGCTGCGGGCAAACGATCACGATTTAATCGAATTGGTTTTGTATCATTTGTTGGTGTTGTTTGTTTAGTTGACACAAATAAACGATTAGTTATTGATGGAGCTGAACAAGGAAATGTAATATCAATCACAGAATTTGCTAAATACAAAATAGGTTTTTGTTTTTTTTTTCTTAATTTATATTATTTTTGTTTTTTTCTTTATTATTTACTTTTTTTAATATCATTTTCTGATTGTTTAACTAAATCATCTAGATCAACATCACTATCATTATCATTTGTTATTCTCTTTGATGAATTGATTGTATCAGATGAAACAACAACTCGATTTGTTATTCCTTGTACTATTTTTCGATTTGATGAAGTACTTGCTGATTCAGCAATAACAACATTTCGACTTCCAACAACTCTTGATTGTGTTGTTGTTGCAGTTTTCGTATCTTCTTGAATTTTTTCTATAGAATCTGTAATAACATTACGATTTGTAGTTTCTGTTTGTTCATTTTCTATTGGGATAGCTATACGACGTGGTATCGTTTCATTTGGAATAGTTGATGAAGATATTTCAGTGGACGTTAATGGAGTTTCAACTTTTGATGTTGAAGATTCAGAAGAATTTATTTGTGGACTAGGTATTGATTCATTGGTTGTTTGAAGTATACTAGTAGGAGTAGAAGGAGAATTTGTTATAGTTGTTGATTTGATTGTATCTTTATTGACAAGATTTGTCGTTGAAGCTAAATAATAAACAGAATAAATTTATTGTTACATAATCAAATATTATCATACGTCTAAGAGTTGATGGATTTCTTAATGTTGGACGAGGACGTAAATGAACAAATGTACAATCAAGTTTAAGACAACCCATTGGTGTATTTTCATAATAACATGATATTCCATTATTTATAGTTTGACGCTAAAAAGAAAACATTATATATAATTAAGATAAGTATTCTTCTTTTATTCAAATATTTACTTGAACAGAACTATGACGTAATGGACAAGCTGGATTTATACAATTTCCACGTAACCAATCTGGACATATAACATTACATGTTAAAACTACTGAATTATGCCGATAAGTACATGCTGAACCCTAAAAAAAAGAGTTTTTTTTTTGTTTTATGATAAATTATTATTGGGAAAAAAGAACTTAATTATTTACTTTTGTACAGGATGATGTGAGGAAATAGAAACAATCTTCATTCAATTTTTGCATAACTTTACTTTATTTAAATCTAAAATATATATATCATCATTTATTAATGTGATTATTAGAATTTATTCTATGTTTACTAATACATATTCATTTTTCTATATTTTATACTCCAATGATAAATCATATACAATTGTGGCTCCATCTTTTTCTTGGAAATTTAAATTTTTTGTGAAAAAAAAATTTTTTTCAGATTTTTTTCTTTCATAGAATAAATAAATTTAAAATTTAATTTCAATTTCAATATAATTCATACATATATTCATTTTAGTATTTGCATGTTTACATATAATATCAATAGGTTGTACTTTTTTTTTTTCTCCTTCTCTTTCTTATAGATGATTTGTACAGGTAAAAATATAATGATTCTTTTTTTCTTTTTTCTATTGTACTTTTACAGTTAATTATTAACTTCTTAAAATATACTTTTATTTTTCTTTTGAGATTATTGGTTGTTATTTTTTTATATGAATTTTGTTATTCTCAATATCATATATATATAAAAATAAATATATAGATCTTACTGTGATTTTGAGTGATTCTATTTTTTCTTTTGTATCTTAATTGTTTTTACTTCAACGAATAATAACAAATAAAAATGGATTATACATATGGACAATCAAATGATTATCCACTTCGGTATGATGAATTATATAAAAATATAATTTCTATTAATTAATTTCTTTTATTTAATAGAATTCTTGTACCAAGTGATTCTGTTGGAGCTATTATTGGTAAACAAGGTTCAACCGTTAAACAAATAAAACAAGCAGCACGTGCAAAGTAATTTATTCGTTTTAATATAATATATATTTTTCTTATGAAAACATCATTATAGAATTGATGTTAATAAAAATGAATCATCAAATAGTCAAGAACGTATGATTATTATTCGTGGTCAACAAGAAAATTGTATACAAGCATGTCGTGAAATACTACGAATTATGTATGAAGATGCAAAAAATAAAAATAAATCAAAGTAAATATGAATATTGTTTTTTGCCTATTAAATATATTATATTTTATTTAAGTGAAATTATATTAAAAGTACTTGCACCTAATAATTTTATTGGTCGAATTATTGGTAAAGGTGGTAATATAATAAATACAATAAAAAAAGAAACTGATACAAAGTTTGTTAGAATAGTTTTAAAATTAACTTTTTTTTTTTTTTGCAAAATGAATTTTTTCCTATTATTAGTATTACTGTTTCAAGTATCAATGAATTAAATTCATATAATATTGAACGAATTATATCAATTAAAGGTGAATTTGATCAACAAATACGTGCACTTGAAACAATCTATTCAAAATTATGTTTGGCATATGAGAATGAAAATGCTCGAGCATGGAATTATTCATCACAATATTATCAACAACAACAACTTATGCAAAATTTTGCACAACATGCAGCTATGATAGCTAGTGTTGGTGCTAATGGTCCACAATTATTACCTATGCATTATTCTCAACAACAACAACAACAACAACAACAATCGATGATTCATCAAACACAAACAAATAATAGTAATAATTCTTCAAATAAATATATCGAACAACAACAACAACAACAACAGCCAAATTTAAATACAATTTATCATTCATCTTATTACGTACGTTTGATAAATATGTGTCGTAGATTATTCTAAAATTTCAGTTTAGACGAGTTCAATTTAGAATTTGACTGTAGTCTAGCTTTTTTCTAGGTCAACCTAAAATTCTAGAATAGATTTGCCCAAATTTGGAGCCCACTTTAAACCATTAGCTCAGTTCAACATTTATTTGTATTCTTTAGACCAATCTAAGTTTTGCCTAGTCTATATGAATGAAAGAAACATTACGTCAAGTAGGTTCTAATGAGGTATGCATACTATAAAAAGAGCTCGAGCTAATAGTTTATTACTGTTGAGACCCATCTCAAGAAAACTAAGATTCGAATCTCGGCTAGAAATTTTGTAGCAAAACAATTATAGCTTATTGTGAAAATTTTAGGTTTTTTTTTTATTGTGTTTATTCTGGAATAATGAACATGAGAATTAATCATTGTGTATAAGTGGAAAAAAAGACATGTTCTTACTATAGCTGTATCTCAGAATAGAAGCAATCAAAAGATTTGAAACTTTTAGAATAAGGTGTGTCTTCATACAAAGTTTGAAGTAGAAATTCGTAAATAAGTTTTTCTAATGTACCTGAAGGTAGACATGGTTATTTTGATAAAAAAATATACAATATTTCAGTATTAATAAGCTATTAGTTCGAACTCTTGTCGGAATATTCCTAGGTCATTAAAACCTAGATAATCTACAAAGTCGTGAATCAAAAGCGATTTGTTACTTAGATATATTCCATCGTCAGATATTTTTTATCTGTACATACCAATCTAAGGCTCGTCTGAATCAAACTAACATAAAGTAATAAATAACTCAGATGGTATAATGAAAAAACAAAGAGAAGAAAAATCTATGGTTTTGATCAAATAAATTTATTTTAAGTAAAGACAAAGAATAGGATCAGTCAAATACACATTTAGATAGACTTTTATTTGACATAAGATGATAGGTGTGGATGGAAGTTCATTCATATCTTTAGTCTTTTTCTATTCATTTGCTCTAACCAATAGTGTAACATAGTAAAAATTAATATGAATATCAACTAAATACATAATAAGTTTCTTTATTCCTTCATGTTTGTATAACAAGTGATATTTTTGTTTTGATGCTTTGTGGAGCAGAAAACTTGATTGCTTTTATAACCACACTGATTACTATTATATCATCTTGTATCTAAACAATTGGCACCATTGATGGCGCTTTGAATATAAACTTTCGATGCATTTATCATTAATATATCATGTAAATCAGTTAATTGTACATGACATGAGTTCATGAAGTATGGATTACTATTAGAGTCCGTCGGCCTCTACTTACATTTATATACATATTTGTTATTAAATCTTGAAAAAATATTTTTTTATTTATTTATTTTTAGCCAACAATGTTTCCAACATCAGGTCCATTTTATATGTCTTATCCATCATCGAATTCAATGCTTGCTTCTCAACCGAATCCATATGCTAATGGTAATCTTGCTCATCAACAAGAACATATACAATTATTACAAAATGTGCCTGTGGCTATTGAAACTGTTCATTTATATGTACCTAATGCAGTTATTGGAGCAATTATTGGTACTAAAGGTCTTTTTATAAAAAGTATTATGAAAAGTTCGAATGCAACGGTTAAAGTAATTACTTGTTTTTTTTTTTGAATTAGTTTAATAAATAAATGTTCTTTCTATAGATACATCCTATTAGTCAAGATGAAGATCAAAATAAAATTATTGATCGACAAGTAACAATAACAGGTACACCTGAAGCTCAATGGAAAAGTCAATATTATATTTATGATAAAATTCGACAAGAAGGTTGTATTTCTTTTTCTTTTTCTTTTTGTTTATGTGTATAAATATATAAATAATAACTGATAAAATAAACCAAATAATTCATTTTCAGGTTATGTCGGTGATGATGAAGTTCGACTTCGAGCAGAAATTTATGTACCCACATCATTAATTGGCCGTTTAGTTGGCAAGGGTGGACATAATGTAAAAGAAAATTAATTTACTATTTTTGATTAAGAAAACTTAATACATATAGGTTCGTCAATTACAGCAATCAACAGGTGCAATCATAAAATTACCTGAAGATTCACAACAAACATCAGCTAGTGAAGTACCTGTTAAAATTATTGGTCCCTTTCCAGCTAGTCAAGTAATGTTTATTTTTTCGAATGATTTATTGAAATTCAACGCTATTTAGTTTGCTCAACGACGTATACAATCCATTATACAAATGAGTCGTGATTTAACTAATATATCAAAGGATGATAGTAATAATAATAATAATAATAATAATAATAATAATAATAGCAGTAGTGAACAATTAAATGGTATGAGTCAAAATAATCTCAATGAAACATCGACAATAGTGAATGGAAGTACAATAAGTGATGATGCTGTTGTTGCTTCGAGTACTTTACCGACTACGGATGATAGTGTAACAACAGTAGATGATCGAAAATCGAGAGAAGAATGAAGATAACAAAAAAGATAATTCGAACAAAATATAGTGCAATAGAAGAAGGGCATAATATACAATTTTTTTAAAAAGCATTTATTTGCACATGTATTTCGGCCAAAAACCTCGGTGATATTGATCTCTCTTCTTCTCTTTTCTATTTCTACTCGATGATGGTCGATGAGTTGATATATATGTATGTGCGTGTTTGTTTCTTTTTTTTCTTGTTGGTCTTATTGTCTTGTGTGTTTGCTGTGTGCGTGCGTTGGCTTTTTTTGTTTGTTCTTGGGCGAGATCGAGGCGTTTCTTTTTATACCGTGAATGGAAAACGCGATCTGAGGAAAAAAAACTATGAAAATAAAACAAAACCGAGATAATCATGTGCATGCTTTTTTTTTAAGTGAAATTTTTATTAAACAACGACAACAACAACAAAATAATGAATAATTTTTTATCTATTAATGCGATAGATGGATTCTCATAAACATAGCTATGACAGACTTGTTTTTGTTCTATTGAGTAAAACTTTGGTGATTATTTTTGGTATTCTTTCATATAATTTATATATTCGGTTCGATGACAAAGAAACATATTTTATATGTCTGAAAGCGTTACAACTGGTAGAAAGTTTTTCTTTACTGGTCTAAATCGTCAGGTCGGTATACTGGCATAAGACTTTTTTGTTTTCTCATTCTATAACAGTTAAATCAAACGCTGGATTTTTCAAAAGTTTTCTTTTTCTTGGCTTCTATTGGTGAATAGTAAATGTCATACAGGTTCAGATTCTATATAACAGCGATTTCATGTAAGACTCAATCTAGTAACATAAACGGAGTAAAACTTTCTTGAACGTATAAATCCTGTTGTGTTACATACAAATTCAAATTTTTAGTTTTATTAGAAATTTTCACGTAATTTTCTAACATAA